TGTACAATAGGGTTGCCTACCTCTTTGGTCTACTGTAACACGGACTTGTCTCATGTAAACGCGACTGATGATCTTAAGGGCACGGGTCCGAATACTGGATCGGGTCAAAACCAATTAATGGGTTTTTAGGACAAACATTTTCAATGAATATGAGAGAGAGGGAGTAGAGAGTGCACTTGTGCTCGCGCATAGGTACACTCAGGCACTATAATACAGTCCTGCGCACATGGCTAGTCTCCGTTGATACTGGCCGCCGTGACCGAAATTCGGTCTGGAGGACATTTAATATTAGGCTTACGATGGCTATCCGAGTACAGAAGCAGAGTACGAAACCTATCCAATTGCAGAGAGGTGTAAACAGTGTGACGTTATATCCCCGAATTTCTTCACCGATGCATTGAAATACGAGTACGTTGTAAGCCAATAAACTGGAAAGGGTACGGTATCAACGTCAATAGCGAGTACATTCATTACTCAACTTCGATTTATTTCGACGATATTTACAGTCATTACGGCAGAATCGCTTTATTGAATTTATTGTGAGCTGCTCGTCGAGGAGAAGGTTGTTTGCATCAGAGTAATCTCGAAGTCGTTTAAGAATGATAATCGTACTAGAACTATTGGATCTAGATAAATATGGCTCAAACTAATGCTTTATATGTATGTAGTAGTAAAGGTGTCAAGCGAGCTAACAGGCCATAGTAACAGAATGGCTTGTAGACCCTATATGTATCAAGAATCAAAATGCAAATGCGTTGTCTCCCTGGAGACTACTGATGTGACTAATATGGAATCCCTCGTCAACAATAAAGTGACGGTTGTCGCTTATGCAAAACAGTAACATGTACATTTTATCAATAATTTTATTAATAATTATGGTGAAAAGAAGACGGCAACTTTAAAGTATTTTTTATAGAAGAGGGGCCAAACGAGCATATGGTTCACCTGATGTTAAGTGACTATCGCCGCCCATGAACATCCGCAACACCAGGGGAATTGCAGGTGCGTTGCCGACCCTTTAGAAAGGAGGAAGTCCTTATCTTGAAGGTCCCCAGGTCGTATCAGTCCGGAAAAATCGCTGGTAGTAAACTATTCCACAGAGAGGTCGTACACGGAAGAAAATTTCTTGTGAAACATACAGTGGTGGACCGCCAAGCATCCAGATGGTGTGGATGGTATCGGGAGGTTTGCCGCGTAGTGCGTTCATGAAATTGAAACGTTTTGTAGTACCCCTGCTGCCATGCATGATAACAAGAACAAATATCTTAACCTATGGGTAGTTTACGGGGGAGGTTTATGTTCAGCAGGAACTTTTGGCGGGCTGTGGTGCTGGTGGTGGTGTTTAATAATAGTTGATGGTATTATTTTGATTTTTTGGCATGGAACAAAAATATTTCATTTTATACAAAAAAATTGGCATTTTCTTCTTCCTTCTTCTTCCCCGTTCTACTGGACTTATTTAACGATTTTTAACAAAAATTCCACATCACCATTAGCCTGTACTCAGATTAACGCTAAACATGGACCTCACTCATAATATGAAGCATTAGCGTTTACTATACCAGACGCCTTGTAGTTGAGGTTTCTGTCTACCGCACGTATTGGGGTACATACTGGGTATTTTATAAGTCATAATCGTGTAGTGGCGGTGTCAGAATATCCACTAACCCGCATCATCCCGTGGGTGTCGTAAGAGGAACAAGAGATGGGTAGCAGCATATCCTAATAACAACTCTAAATAAAGAAGGGAAGAAAGGTTTGAGTGGAGTAGTGGCTTAAGGTAGGATTTGGGGGTGAGTATTGTGAAGGGTGTTTGTGTAATATAAAAACCTGCAGTTGCCAAGCCGCCTGCCAAGCGTGGCATATGGGGAACGCCTATGTTCAGCAGTGGACTTTTATATGCTGTAATCGATGGACGCATTTCCCACAGTTTACTGTTACAACAGTGACGGGACGAAATGGGGTAATGAATTCTATTACGCTGCCACAACACCGGCTATTACATAACATGCAATAACCGGTGTTGTGGCATTATTGCATGACTGCCTCGTTGATCTAGTGGTTGTAGTAGTGCAATTGCTGATCACGAGGTCCTGGGTTCGAATCCCGGGTCGGGCCAAAAAATTAATTATTGAGTTTTGCCGTAAGAAATTCTCAGTACTTGCCCGGAGTCAGGAAGTTGGTGGTGTCTCACCCCCGTGCCTCGGAAAGCACGTAAAGCCGTTGGTCCTGCGCCTGATCTCTCTCCGGTCGTGTCGGTTTACCGTCGCATCGGATTATGAGAGTGAGGGAATAGAGAGTGCACCTGTGCTTGCGGATACACTTGGGCACTATAATCCTGTCCTGCGCCGATGGCTAGTCTCCGTTGAGGCAGGCCGCCGTGGCCGAAATTCGGTCTGTAGGATATTATCATTATTTTTATTGCATAACTTGTACACGAGTCTGCCTCATTAGTCTAGTGGTCATAAGCGCGCCTGCTGTTCTTGAGATCTCAGACTCAAATCCCGGGCTGGGCCAAAATCAGTTATTACGTTTTTTTGTCAAGAAACTTAAGTTAAGTAGCAGACCGGAGTCAGAATGTCGGCGGTGTGAAACACCGTGCCTCTGGCACGTAAACCCGTTGGTCCTGTGCCTGATCTTCACTTTCGCTTGCGCACACACTCGTGAAGGAATCCGGACTGACGGATATTCTTATTATTATAAATATTTTAAATAATAAGACAGACAAACGAGCACATAGTCGACCTGATGCTAAGTGGATCTTGAGGCTCATAGACATCTATGTCTATTCTCGATTAAGAATCAAAATGCACATGCGTTGTCACCACTGAGGACTAAGATGGAATGCCTAGTTTCTAGTAAAACGGGTGTTCAGTTCTCTATACTCACCATCGAAGCACAACAACATTGAGCTGCTATTTCACGCTGGTATTTTGTGAGATAGCGGTGCTACCCCGGTCCAGCTGAGCCATTCGTGCTACAACCATAATACAGCTGCGGCATGGCTCTGCCACGCGTATTCTTTTCTTTTTTTAAAAAAAATAGACCTTGCTCCTGTATCATGGGGGCAGTTTACGCACACAAATTTTACAAGGATAAACATCCAGACCCGGCACAGTTATTTGTAGGCCATGTAAATTCTTGTTCCGTTCGGGATTCGAACCCGTGGACCTTAGCACTGCATCTCATAGTTAAGCCATTGTGCCGTGGAGCTGTCCTACTATTGTTATTAAATAAAAATTATAAAAAAATTGTTTAGTAGTTTTGAACGTGAATCATATCCTAAAATCCGTATCAATAATAGAAACAGAAACTCTTTATTCAATGTAGATTATAAACAATACTTATTGAAAGTCACTTTTTTCATTTACTACTGGTTCGCAATAAAAACCTCTGTCCTGGGAAGAACCAGCAAGAAACCCAGCGGGACTATTTTTTTTCCAATAATAGCTTACAATCATGTTTACAATTAACAACACAAGACAAATTAGAAATAGCTTGGTAGCGATCACCCCAATGTCTCATAACTCTAAAACAACGCAAATATCTGTCTCAAGTAAAATATATATTAAAAATGTTACAAATTTTTTTACACTTTATATTATACACGACAGTATGTATCTGATGTGCATTTGATACGATTGACTTGTTATTAAATTAATTGAGTCGTTGTCAAAAGAGATATTAATGTAAGATAAAATTTGCATAACTAACGTTTAAATTTATCCGAATGATTTGCGCCATATTTGTGGTAATTTAATACTCGAATAAGTAATAACGTACTTAGATATAAAAATACTGGATACGCTCAAGCATACCTATATAGTACTTACATATATTATGATAGTATATTTTTATGAAAAAATCTTGATGTAACATTTTTAAATTTGAAAACATGATTATAATTAGATGAAACAAAATATGTATATTATAGATTATAGATATCATTAGATATGTGTGAGCCCGTAAGTGATCGTGTAACTTCTGAATGACATGAGACCGATTGCGGTCATAATAATTAATACAATATTTTATTCCACAGGTGGCGCTGTAGTCAAGTTAATAATAACTACCATAGTTTTAGAATAAATGATTTATATTCACAAAATAATATGATTGTACAGTGCCAAAAAAGTCACAAAATCTAGACCCGATAGATGGAACTGTGGTTGAGGTATATAAACTTTATATTTACACTGTAGAACGTCCGGAATAAAAATAATTATTGTATATAAAACTTGTATATAAACTAATATGTGTCACAGAAAATAATCACATGTTATAATGTATTCTTTTCATCTTTTTCTTTTTTGGATTTATTAATTTTATGCTGTCATAAAGTTAACAATAAAATGATTTATAAAAGTTATTATGAAGTTTATAACAAATACAAATAAATAAGTCGACAAGTGATGGAAGCGAGCGTATCTCACGTATGGATAGATTTATTCGCAATTGAAGTCTCTAGTGTCTATTAAAATGCGCTAGGTCTATTCCAGTCAGATGTGAGCCCCGCGACTTTGAATATCAATCACACAGCAAACAGCCCGGCGATTATGCAGCCACGTGCAGTGGCATATCGACTCACATTAGCATACTTCGTAAATCTTCGCACTATTGGGTGGGCCGGCAAATGATTGTCACCTTTTAAATTTGCATTCATTATCATTCACCATTCATTACCATATCATTATACATTAGTTCAACCCGTTGTTGTCTACTTATGCGCGTTTTGCATGATTAGTGTCGTGATGTTTTCCTTTCGTATTTATCGCGACGCCCCTATTTGTTGGATGCTCGTTGGCTTATTGTTCGTGACTTGATTACTTAGTCAATTGTATACGCAATTTTAAACTGAAATGCTTTCTTCTTACGATCGAGATTTAAATGCACTTTGAAACAAACAGCATGCCATTTTGAATATGTACTAAACACGAAATTACTTTGTCATAACATTGGAACAAATGTAGAGCTAATTGAAATAAAATGTGAGTACTAACCTTGCTATATTAGATAGAAGAATCAGCAAAAAACTTATAGTTATCGAGGACTTCAGAAACATCCTGCGCTCTTCACCGTTAAAAACTTTCAGCTTCTTCATGTTGGCAACACTATGTCCTTGTTTCGGGAACTCATCGTTTCCGCTTGTGAAATGTCAGGTTGTTAAATGATTGCACAGTTTTTTTTTAATATCACATTAACATAAAATATCTAAACAGGATACGAAACCATTTTAAATTGATTTTGAAAATGTTCCATCTTGTTTGAAATGCTAATGTAAACGCAACGCTGATTTTGACAAGAAAAATATCGTTCACCGATGCTTATTGTTTATCGTTGAGTCGCGGGTGGTTTAGGTTGATTTCACTTACGTTTTGAACGTGAATATTTTTATATTCGCATCCCTCATTGGCTTGTTTGTTTATATTTGTTCGGAAAGCCGTCGGCGCGTTGCCGTCGGGTTGCTTATACGTCGTGTTTGGCCGCGCATGCCGGTGCGTTCGTCCGCGTGGGACGCGAGGCGTGCTCTTCGCGCCGCCCAGACTTCGGGGAAAAAAGTTAGAGGGGCGTGTGGACGCCTTTCGATACGGCCCCACCTACTCACTGATTATCCTTGTTTACGCGATTATTTTCCTCTGACATTTCGGCAAAGCTCACTCTGATGAGGAATAGGCGCCCGTGTGCACACAGAGCGGTCTGGTTTGACAGTGGCACTGTGTACGCAATCCCTGTCTATATAAAATGCCGCCCCACGCGTTTTATTCTCGATCATGGGAAACGATATCCCGTCGTTTTTGGTTTAGTGGCAACGTAGATTTGCGGGAATGCACTTTGATTCCAGTGATGTATTTAAACCATTTTGCTTTGAGCTATTTCGAAGTTCATTAATGTTTCGATTTTATAAAATTCTAAAATATTTATTTTACTTAATTATCTTTTGATTTTTTACAAGTTCATTATTTTAAAATCGATATGTTATGAAAAACATAATTAGAATTAAGAGACGTATCATTAAATGAAACTAATTTTACGGATGTTATCGCGTTTGATTTTGACTTTTTAATTCCCGACGATTCGGGTGCTTTACAGCACCCATGGTTACGGGGGCGACTGAGGTGTTTGTAGTTAATTTAGGATTTATTAATTATAGGATTTTATTAAACACGTCGGGTTGAATAAAATCCTATAATTAATAAAATAAAATCCAATTCCAAGCATAACACTGCCAGACTTCAAAATATGTAATCTGCGTAGAGCGTACCAGAAATTAATATCCTAAAACTGAAGATAGCCGGGCTAACTATGACATCGGGACGTCAAACACCACAGACCCCCGTGACAATAGGTGCTGTAAAGCAACCGAACTTCGCGAATTAAAAAGTCAAAATTAAACGCGATAACATCCGTAAAATTTGTTTCATTTAATGTGTAGTGTTCGCGTAAATATAAGAAGTCAGATTTATCCTTGATTAAATAAAAAAATCGTTTTGGTTAAAGAAATAAAAACAAATAATTCATTCAGTCATTTAATGAGTACAAAATAGGGGCTTGTTCAGCTATTCATATTGACAATAACAAAAAGCTAAGGGACACGACCCTTCAACAAGGGTGAATAGTCGCGTACGCAACTACAATTACGTCTAGAGTAATAATGTGATCAATGTCATCCGCCACTACCCACACTACACATGAACTATGCACTAATAAATCAAAAATGACCATACTTTTTGACTATTTATCGTAATTCACTCAAACATGAACGACAATGAACGCAACTTAATAAAAAAAGGAGTATCAATATAGGTATATATAAGCGAAATAACACTGACTGACTGACTCATCAGGAGTTCTCTAAAACTGTACACTCGATAACTTGAAATTTTGTATAGTTAGGTCACAGATTAGTAAATTAAGTACTCATTTCGCAATGTTATTTACGTGGTAGAGCCACGCTGCAGCTATATTATGGTTGTAGCATGAATGGGTCGGCTCGGCCGGGGAAGGACCACGCTCTCACAGAATACTATCGTAAAATAGCAGCTTAATGTTGCTGTGTTTCGTATGGTGAATATAGAGAACCGGAGACACGTTTTAATGGAATCGAGGCATTCCATCTTAGTTCTCAAGGGTGACAACGCATCTGCATTTTGATTCTTAATCGAGGTTAAATGTCGATGTCTATGGGCCACAGCATCCACTTACCACCAGGTGGACTGTTTGCTCGTTTGTCACACTAATCCTATAAAAAAATGTAGTCGCTCACTAAGAACAGATTTTACAATAGTCCCATCAAAAAAATTCTTGATATTTCACATCTAGGTTCCGCAATAAAATATTATAGTGGGCCCAGCGATGGGAGCGGGTATCAACTAGTTCATTATATAATCGCCCTTATAGAATATCAGCATAAGATATTTCACCATAATGGTGCCGTGCTTCGTATCTGGGTAGTGTGGGTAGGTGTTCATCTGCGTTTTCATTCTTAATTGATGACAGATGTAGGTGTCTATGGGCCTTGATATCATTCACCATCACTTCAACTGTATGATCGTTTGTCACTCTAAGTTAAATAAGTAATATAAGAAACAATAATCTAATTTAAGCAAATGTTGAGTAACACAGAAACACTTACTCTTGCTAAACAAGCTGTGTACGATATATAATATTTCTTATAATTTTTGATTAACGTGTGGCCTTAGAAGGAAAAGGGGAGATCTCCCGCCGGGCTAGGTTCTGCCTGGGCAGCGGCCAACGCTCCGTGTGATAGTTTGGAGATGTTCTATATATTATACTGTTTATGATGCGGAACTTTTGATAGCGCAATTTAGGCTTCGGTGTATTTCGCTTGTGGCGCGACGACAGCACCGCCACATCACCCTGCTCAGCCCGGAGGTCGACAGTGTAGTCCGATTGCCAGTGCGTTCTTAATGCCGGTGGGGAGTGCATGCTGTGTGCGTAAGGGCAAGTGCCACTGGTGCGAATGATATGCCGACGTGTAATGCATGCCGTACTACGCGCTGGCAAGTGATGCCGGTGAGAACGATGTGCCGGAGCAAGAGTGTCAGAAGTCTGCCTTGTAAATCTGCGGTAAGTCGAGATGAAGGCAAGTTGGACTGGCTTGAAGGAACTGAAGACTGCAGAAGACGATTCTCAGTAGTGAATGGTGAAAAGTGTGTGTGGAGCGTCTGGGGAGCGGCTAACGCTCCATGTGATAGTTTGGAGATGTTCTATATATACCGTTTATGATTCGGAACTTTGATAGCGCGTTTGTTTAGATTATAGAAATGTTTTTTATTTATTAGAAGATGATGAGTTTGATTTAATGTTTTAAAAGGTAGAGAATGTATGATGGAATGAAGTTCAAAAAATTCAAGTGCAGTCTCTGCATTCTATATTTTGAAATAAGAATTTGAGTTTTTACACAAAACTAGTTTCGGTTAGAACACGGTGTTAGCAGCTGCGAGGTCGTTACCTCTGCTCTTCTACGAGTATTATTGTATGAACATTATTAAATATCTAGAAGATTTCCTACTTTGTAACAATTGACTCAATGACTGTTTTATAATTAAGAATCTAATGAGAATTATAAACAAGGCAAAACCTTGTCATCGCAATTTATTGACTTATGTTAGACAAGATGCCGCCAAAGTTATTTATGCGCAGTCAGGAATTTGTATGTAAATAACACATAGTCGTAACCTTTGATCTCACTGACACGCGGCACTACTTGAGTATCGTACTCGTCTTTATAAATAATAAGGTTCTTCAGTCAGTTTGTATTATACAATATTTAAGTAGTAACGATAAATAAAAATTAATTATTTGTTTGTTTATAATTTGAATACCCTTGATAAAAAGTATACAATGACTTAATACCTTAAACTTTATACGAGTGAACTCATTGAGTAGCGAAAATTCATAATCGATTAAAGTAATTAAACATTTGAATATACTAGAATTTTATAAATAAGAGGAGAGCATGCGGATCACCTGACGTTAAGTGATGATACCGCTGCCTATGAACAATTGCAACACCACACTTTCGTTTCCAGTGTATTGTCGGCCTTTTATAAAGGAGTAGGTTATTTTCTTAAAGGTCCCTAAGTCATTGCGGTCCGCAAAAGTCTCTGGTGGTAGCCGAATCCACTAAAAAGTAGTAGTAGTAGAGGATGAAAGCTAATGTACCATGTACAGAGAGCCAGAATAATTACAAGCTGTGATGCATTCCGTCCTTAGAAGTAGCAACGCATCTACAACGTGGACTGCACTTCACTTTTATAAACAAAGGAATATGTCTACCGTCCCCTAAACTTTTTAGAAGAATTTAGGAATAAATATAAGTCCACTGTGCTAATCCGTATTAGCGGTCTTCACTCTTGTCCCCGTATATTTTTTTACTTCTTATTCAGGCGAGTTTTCTTACGATATTTTAATTAGAGATGGGCCGTATATTCATTTCATATACGGTATTCGGCATATTTGGCATATTCGGCAGCTTTACTGAATATTCGCATTCGGTCGAATATTCCGCTAAATCACCGAACATTCGTTAAAGTGGTACTCAAAATGTCCACTGTATTGAAATGTACGAATTGTGTAATGCCATGTCTTTCATAATTTTACGGTTGATAGTACATATTTTATTTACGGGTTAAATCTGTTTGTACAGCATTATGTTTTTGAGGCACTGTAGATTTATTTTCAATTATAGCAAATAAAAAGCTTGATAAAATGGTTTTGGGATCAAACAAAGCAACTTTACATTACATTAGTACATTTCACTTTACTTTGGTCGTCAGTTTCTCTAAAATAAGTCCAAATAGTAAATCTCCTGCCACTCATTTTTATCATATAATTATCAATTTTTACTAAGAATAATACAATGAAATACTTATTTCTCACAAAAATAGTCAAAACATAAGCATGTGCTGGCAATTTGCTCAGTACTAGATGATGCAATAATATATCAGGTGTGGCGGGGAAGCAGGCGCTAATCCCGCGCGGTTTACGGTAACAAGTTTCGACATAAATTAGTAAGGTACCGATGTGATCCTGCCGAATAATGTTCGGCTGAATATTCGGTTCGGTAAAAGTTTTACC